CTCACAGACACCGTACAATTAAAATATAATGTAATAAAACAAAGAATAAAAATAACAATAAAACATCATAGCCTACATAACAATTAACAAATAAAAAACATTGTATAAACAAAACATCCTACAAAAAATAGGGTTAATGAGAGATGGTGATTAAACTGAATAAGCCTCTTTTAATGAGAAGAGTTTTAATCTGATTTCAAATGTAGATTAATATGTAGCGATACTAGAAATGAATGAAAGAAGAGTTTTTAGATGCTGGAAGAAAACTGTTTCTAAAGATGTTAGCAATGGCTGAGCATAACTTGGAGTATTATTATAAAACTATGAAAAAAATGTAGCCTTTTTTCAAATTTGCTATTGTATTTTTTACATTTTAGTTAAAAAAAACAACTGAAAAAGCAACCGATTATTCGTTTTCTTTTATTTTGAAATCCGTTCTGATCCGTGTGCGTTGGTGGTGTTTCAGACGCCGCCTGTCAGAGAARCTCGCTCAGACGCCCACCACGTTCAAGAGGGACCCCGAGGACCCATCAGCRGTTGCCCTCAAGGAACCCTGGGAGGAGAAAGTCAGGTAGGTCCTGGAAGGGGTGGAAAAAAGAAAAAAACCCTCGCCTGTTTTTATTCTGCTGCTGTAGTAACTCTTTGTGTTCAGGCGGATCAGAGAAGCCTCTCCGTACGGTCACCTTCCCAACTGGAGGCTGCTGTCGGTCATCGTGAAGTGTGGAGACGACCTGAGGCAGGAGCTGCTGGCCTATCAGGTCCTCAAACAGCTGCAGGTACAGGAACACCTGAACTTTTGGCACGTCTCYGAAATCAGCTRAAACTTTAAAGAAACTTGATCGTGTCTGGGCTGCTGCTCTGTGTGATATTTAGTCTGATTTTCTCTCATCAGTCCATCTGGCAGCAGGAGAGGGTTCCTCTGTGGATCAAACCTTACAAGATCCTGGTGATGTCCTCCGACAGCGGGATGATCGAGCCCGTCCTCAACGCCGTTTCTCTGCACCAGGTGGGCGGAGGGTTTTGGGAGAACACGGCTTTTCTATTTAAACAAATTGCACAAAGGAGAGATTTGATTTTTATTTTTATTGTCAGGTGAGGAAACAGAGTCAGCTGTCTCTGCTGGATTATTTCCTGCAAGAACACGGCAGCTTCACCACGGAGGCCTTCCTCACCGCTCAGAGGAACTTTGTCCAGAGCTGCGCCGGGTACAGTCTCATCTGTTACCTGCTGCAGGTCAAGGACAGGTGAGAGG